ATATATATATATATATATGATGATAATAAATGAACCGTCACAGAAAAGAATATAACAAGAGAAAAAAACCTCTAGAATTTTTAAATTTAAGCACATGCTGTCTTCTGTGTTTAAATATTGGTTTTTAGGTTCTTCGTTTGGTCATGAATTTGAACGTTATAGTGTATGGTCTAATATTCTAAATGAAAATGAGATTAGCGTGTATCATTACCATCATCATCATCGTCGTCATCATTATCATCACCATCATCAGTACCATCTTTATATCACTGACCTTGGATATGAAATATCGATGCTCTGGCTATGGACACGTGTCCAGTAGCGGCCAATAGCAAATAAATCTTTTCATGACTGAATGAATAATTTACCGTTTGACGCACTTAACACTGGTCACTGTGTCACGTGCCCAACAAAATGCAATTTTAGGCTAAAAATCATAATGATAGGCTGTATAATACCGTATATATCAAAATGCGATACCGCGCCCCTTTCCTTTTTTGATAGCTGGTCGACGACCTGTCGTAAACCCACAGGGCTACAAAATAATTTAAGGAACAGAAACTTTTCCGAGAATCAATAGAATAATTAAAGACATCAACTATGGTACTGTAAACGAATTGCCATCATCCACATGATTATACTGCTGCTGCGCGCGCGCATAACATTAATACACTCACGTTAGAAAAAGTAATGTCTTTGTACGTCACTACAATGATGAATCATCGAAAATAATTGATTCTGAGCATAGGCAACATTTTAACCGACTTTCAATTTTATATTTAAAGTTTAATGTACCGTAGGCCCTACTTTACCTAGTGTTTTGTTATTAAGCATTAAGGTTGCTTATTTATTTATTTTTTATATTGGACGACTGAAATAACTTACCCCCGGCCCGGTCCCCTGGACATACAGTAATTTGGAAAGTTTAGCCTCTTTTTCATATGGTTTAAATTGTAAACAACATTCTGAGTATCGCTCTGGACCACCATCGTATGGTATGTATTGCTCAACTTATATGTTCACTATGGTTACCGAAGCCTATACAATATGATTCCTCTGCATACATATATAATGTATTTACAAAAATACATTATAAATTATATTAATAATGTAGGCCTACGAAAATACATTATAGTAGTACGAAGGTAATTATAACTAACAATTCATAAACACACCTCTTTTTAATAATGTTAATATTCTTTAGGGAAAAAAACCCCGATTAGTGGGATTTTTAACACAGTTTCGCCCTATTCAAAAAATGTCCATGATTGAAATATATTTCCGGATGGAATACAGCATTTTAGTATGTTACCCGTCGTAGTATTTTCTCTGTTGACCGAATCTATATTTTGCGAAAAATCCAGTAAGCTAGGGAGTCGATGCACATCTAGCGACGCCATGACCGTATGACCCAACCTAACGCAAAAAGAGATCGGGAAGGGAAATGCCGTTTGCTTTGAGCGGCTCAGGAAAAAATACTAGGACTCATCGAATACTTTTCAGTTAGGTAGGTAAAAGCTTGATTTGTAAATAATCAAGGAATGGTTATAATACCACAGCAAGTGACACAGTATTTTAGAAAGCAACAGATTTACATCGACGAATCGAATGTGGTCAGTATCGGATACACTCTTTGGTATCGGTAAGCCAGGCTTGTTATTAAAACGGGCCTAGATTGCTAGCAAAAAAGCATGCACACACATATCATCCAGTGTCCACTAATAGTGTCCACTAAGTCTTCTTCTGGTGCTCTGGCCTTGTGTGACCCGAGATGAACTTGTGTACAGTATGTACCAGCCAAGGTCATTTTAAAGGCCTGTATTGTAGGTCTAGCCTAGAGTGTTTGTCAATATTTCTGTCTTAATGATCCATGTTACTTAAGTCTCATGTTATGTTAATGTTGACTGTCAATGTCGTTTTTTCTAGGCCTACCTAGGCCTAGATCTAGCATGATTGATTTGCCTAGGCATAGGCTGGTGTATAATAATAAGTGTTGTTTTTCTTTATGTTGAACCAAGCAAAACTAGCCTAAACAAATGTATGTAATAAGCCTAGACCTAGCTAGGCCTTTTTGCCCTGCTGTGTGAAAGAAAGCGAAACTTCAGTTCTGAGTTACCCAAAGTATCTTATTCAACTCAGTGAGAATGAGTGTCTGACGTGTTGAAAAAATTCAATTGCTTTACTGCACTGCAGAAAACACTACTTTCTATTATTCGATACATTGTGACAATGCATACCTTCTTACTGATTCATACCATCACCATAAAATTTATAGGTTTGTTCTGGATTGGATATTAACAGTCTAAAATAGTGTATAGGCCTAGATGATCTTTAATCTTTAGTACAATATGAACTTGTCTTTTCTGCGTTTATTATTTGAATTGTTTGTCTTTCTGAGGATGACTCAAATAGAGGATGAAATAATATTTTTTTCTCATAAAAGAATATTATTATTTAATTTGCTTTTTTATGATGTACTGTAATGTGTAATTTATGTTAATTGTAAAAAAGTTATCTCACAGCCATAATGAAAAACAGCATTGCATTTGTTGATTTGTACTTCATGAATGAAGTTATACTACTACTATATTACTATAATTTTCTGTTTGATATGACATGAAAGAAAATTTACGAAACATGAATCAACTCATAATAATCTTGACAGTAAAGAAATAGGAAGGATACTATTCAAGTTTAGGCTGTAATTTGCCTTCTTTGATTCCGTGTGGTGCCAACACTGGCTATTTATTTTTTTATACAGTTTTTCTGTGATGAAAGTGAGGGCGAACTTTAACCTTTAAACTTATCATACTGTACCTTCTTTATTTGTCACATAATATGAGATAGTGTGGACATAACTTAACTCTTCCCAATTGCAATTAGCAGAGAAAAAACCTGAATGGTGGTGGTGTTATGGATAACAGTTTATGAGTAACAGCGCCAAGGATATAATTTCCGTTTACATTGACATGGTACGTTAAGATATCCTGATAATAAACGTTTTGTAGCCACATTCGCTATTAATGTGAGTTGAAGTCTCTATCTGTTGTAAGATAGCCAAAGTAGATGGAAAAACAAAGATTTTCAAGTTGTCTAGGCAACATCTTTCAGCTTTTCTTATTGAAGTAAGTAGGCCTATTTTACAGGCTTTAGTTACATAAAAGGGTAACAGCTCAGCCCTGCCAAAACCAAAATTCCGAATGGATTATACCCTCAGGAATTCTTGCATTTAAGAACTATAATTATATGTAGAACTTATAGTACATCTCCTTTCCAAAAAAATTATTAATTATAGAATTATTAATGATCATAAACAAGTGACCAGAATATCAATATATGTAGGCTATTCTATCATTGGACCTGAGGGGAAAAGATAAGAATATTGATAAGCGCCACCAACCGTTGTGCTGATTTAAAAAATTTTTTTTTTTAAAGCTGCGTTATAAAGATTCTCAGATGGGTGGCCAAAGTAAAGCAGTGGCCTACAAAAAAATGCAAGCTAAGTGTGCAAGTTACCAAACATGTTTGAAAATACTAAGATTGTTAGTGATTATACCTATATACCTAAGTATTTCATTTAGGATCAATATCTAGATAACCAGTTTAGCATAGCATTGTCAGACCTGTTTATCCTTAGGTCAAAGTGGCTTTTTTCGGCTCAATCTGTGGTTATATCAGTCTGTATCACCAATTACTTTCTCTTCCTCTTTATTGACCTTCAGTCAATCACTTTACAGACTCAAAATTCTAAATTCCCAACATTTTTTCGAAATATCTTAGGTTTTGTTCCATTTCTGTATAAATTTCCTCAATAAATCTCTTTTTTTCTCGGTTTTGAAAGTTGAAGAGCTTAGTAATGTGTGTCCATCCATTGAGATCATGGGATTTGCTTCTCCCAATGTTGTGATTATCAGCAACTGTATTGTATTTGATCACAGTATAGTTCACCAGGGATTTAGCGTGCTTTAAGAAGTACTCAATTCCGACCTGCAAGAAAACGAAGTGGTAGTTTTAAGTCAAAGGTTGTGTCTCTTGAAATGAAACAGCAGTCATACGTGAGTGATCATAAGATTAAACAACAATTGTATTCAACAAATTTGAATTTTAAAGCTTAGTATAGCATCATTTTGTGAATCACACTTCAAAGTACAAATTTGGAATAAAACAAATATTAGAAAAATTACTATCAAAACTGTTTTAAAGAATTAATCAGTTTTAAATTAAAATTAATCTGTTTAACATCAATAAATTGTTATAATGATGACATAATTAGGATTGATTATTCTAGTGAATCACATAGTTTTTTAAACAATAAAAATAATCATAAATCATTATTTTTTATTATATATTATTAATTACTGTAAAATATGATTATACCGTATTATTCATTATTTTATAAATAGAAATTAATTAAACAGTTGTAGTTTTGTAATACAGTACAGTACTTGCAATATCCCACTATAGCACGTGAACAATTAATTGTTTTTATCTATATTTTTCACACTACTAAAAATAGGTTTAGCTGTAATGCTTCTAGAATAATAATAATAATAATAATAATAATAATAATAATAATAAATCATAATTTAAAGATAATTTGTATTTTTATATTATATAAATATTTTTTGAAGGATATTTTTCTTTAACATTGAAAATTAGAAATGTTGTAGTGACTGACTAGGCAACTTCCTTCCCCTTAACACAGCCTATCCAGCATTACAAGGCCTGAAGATTAGAAGCCAACATATGAATCACCATATAATCTACACTATTCCTGGATTCTGTGCCAATTTATTCACACGCTGACCATTTCCTCTAATGGAACTTTCTGCTAAGTCCCTCCCCTAGATACCTAGATACTGTTGCTAAGGTACCTCAAGACGACAATGTAAAAATATATTGTATGCATGAACACATGCGTTTGCAAGAAAACACATCTGCTTGTGTGGCACGCATATATTCTTGGCCTCTTCTGATTGGTCATTTGTTAAAATTTGATTACTGTACTGTAGATTCTGTTGCTACAGTAAGGTCCCACAAGATGACAATGTAATAATATATGTAAACACGTACGTTTGTAAGACAACACATTTGCTTGTGTGGCATCCACATATTCTTGGCCTCTTCTGATTGGTCATTTGTTAAAGTTTGATTGATTACTGTAGATACTGTTGCTACAGTAAGGTCCCACAAGATGACAATGTAAAAATATATGTAAACACGTACGTTTGTAAGACAACACATTTGCTTGTGTGGCACCCACATATTCTTGTCCTCTTCTGATTGGTCATTTGTTATGTTTGATTGACATTTCAGAAAGGTCTATTGCATGAGCCTGCATATGGTCATTTTTAACATGCAGATTTTGTGTGTTGATTTCCCTTCAAGCTATGATCGAGTACCGTATTAAAGTGATTGATATTGAGTTCATAGACATTAACAACATATATTTACACAGCTTTCCTGTTGGTTTTTGTGTAAATAATGTATTTGAAATAATGTTTTGTATTATATATTCTATTAAAAAAAACCAAAATAATTGCGCTACGTTTGTCAAATGTATTATTTTGTTGTGGTATAATATGATAGATTGAGGGCACTTTGGGATTTGTATTGCCTGTTTTAATCCAAAATAGTAATTGAATAAATAAGGTAATCTCGGGCATGGTTAAAGATTTAAATTTTAAGCCCTATTTAATTCTTAATATGTGATGAATGATAAATACTTTCTTTAATATTCATAACTTTGTGAAGTTGGAATATTAATTTTGTTTTCGTAACAAAAAGTCATGTATTAGTTTTATGTTATAGTAATAATTATACACTACTGTATATAAAATCCTTTAATTTCAAAATCATTGCAGGGATGAGTTATGTATCCAAGTAATAAGATAGAGGATATTTACATAGATCCAGGCATCTGATTGGTCGAAAGTACAGGAATAGAATGACTGCCCCTGTCATAGTTTGGACATTAATATTACAAAATACTGTACATTAGTGACAGTGCTAAACTTGCTAAAAAATATAATGAGCTATTGTCCACAAGTGAGTAGGCTTTCCCAATGATTGTACTGTACAAACAAATTCAAAAGGTAATTAAAATTGTAAAAGGTTATGCTAACAATAAAATGAAAATTACATAACATCAAAGTTAAGAAAACATTAAAATTGTATAAGTGGTACTGTAGTATAAATAAAATTATATTTATTTTAAATGTTTTCAAAAAGTTGTTTGCATAATATTTCAGATCAGAATCTCTAACCTTTGCTATTATTGTAACATGGATGATGGTTTGTTTTGGGCGTGGGGTGGATAGGTGCATTATGGGAAACTGAAGTGCTGGTAGCAACGAGTTAAAGCGATAGCCAATTTAAAGGAGGGGAATTCTTATGTGGCTTTATCGGGGGTGGGAGGAAGCCCCAGGCTCTTCCCCAGGCTCTTACCAGGCTCTCCTGAATGCTAATGTTATAAACTGACAGTTAATTGCACAGCATGGAAGGCAAGTGGCAAAATTTTCGTTAGGATGGCCGTTTACAATTACTTCCTTGATCCGATTGACCTACTGTGAAATTGTTTATTTGTTAAGGATAGTTAGTATTAGTAATATGCACATCTGATCTTGTTTGGTGTGTAAATTTCTAGGTTATGTTTTGTAAGCATGTTATTCATAATACTATTTTGGTATGCAAGCAGCTCTGGGTTCAGGGGCGGATCCAGTGGATTGCACGTGTGCCCCCCCCCCCCACATTTTGCATTAAATTTTAAAATTTTCAATGCAAATCAAAGCATGAAGTATGTGCTACTCACTTACCTATTCTGAGGCTGTTGTGCACACCCCCCTCCCCGTTTGAAAAATTCTGGATCTGTTCCTGGGGTAATAAATAAAACATTTTGATCAACTGTTAATTTAATTGGCATTGTCACAGAGCCCAGGAGTTGCAAAACTGGGATCCCCACTGTATGCAGACTGACGTGCGGTAACTTCCTGCCACTGAAACTGATGTTATAATGTTATGCATTAATGGTAACAATAGAGAGGTTTCGCACGCGAACGAATACGTGTATGCATATGTTTAGCTATCCGTTCGTAGGCATTCTGTGTTTTTCCTGGCCTAGGGCCTTAGCTTAGGCCTACTATACTCTGTTCTCTTCTCTCATCATGCTTCTTAAAGCTTTATTAGTGTATGTAAGGTTTTGGAAACTGAAATTGAAAATTGTAGCCGAAAAATACTATCTTTGTTGCCCAGAAGTGTTGGTTATTTTGTGATAGACCCTACTGTTTATGACCCAAAAGTGCCTGGCTACAAGTAGGCCTAGGCCTGCATAAATCTCGACGCCACCTAGGTCAAAGCACCGACGTTTTGATACCCCAAAATGAGACGCATCCTATCGTAATTTGTTGTCTTCAAATGTCACAAAAATGGCACGTACGACGATCCTACTAGAAATCCAAAATTTCCCTATGCGTTTTTCACTTACTTGTAGTGAGCGAGATATGCGTGTCGCCACACGTTTAGCGGATAGCAGCCGGTGTATGACGTCAAAATGATAATGTATTCGTCACACTAACCGTACGAGTTCGCGTGTGAAACCTCCCTATTATGTTGAAAAAAATGCCCTCGTGTACAGTATGGTGATTAGGGGCCATTTTTTACCAGTGTATTATTTACTGTACTGTGGCAAGTATTGCTATTTTCATACTTCTACCTTATTCGAATTAGCACGTTGTAATGATGGTTTTTTTTTTGTTACCATGGTGCAGAAGTTTGTTCTTAAATACTAAGATACCCATGTTGAAACTAAAATATATTTACGTTAGATTCACAAAGTAAACCAATAAGTTATTTTATTGTAAGTTTACATTTTATGGTGCTTTGTTAATTCGGCTAATGGCGAGATCAGGACTTCCTGACCCGAAACACAGATCTTGATAATGTAACGAGGCAACGCTGTGTAGTATATTTTCTAGTTTGCTTCTAAACAAAGGTCATGCCACCACATTTGATTGCTCATTGGCATGAGATATTGTGGTAATTTCAACATGTTTGTTCAATTATGAAACATGAAAGAAGAACATTCTGAAGACCTCTTTTGTTTCTAGAACTAGATCATTTATTCCCAGTGGAGTGACAGTGATTTCAACTAGGTCAGATTGCTGTCTAATAACAGCATACTCTGTGCCATAAATTTGTCTTAAAATAGATTACATGGGGTTTTGTAAAAGGCAAATGCCAAATCTCATGTAAAAGGGCAAAAGGTGGTGATTACAGGATAATTTGTTCAGAGATTATCATGTGACCGTGAACATTTTAACAAAACAGAATTGTGAATAAATTGTAAATAAAATAATACTAGGTATAATTTATTATTTATTTGTCGAAATGTACAATAAAATAAAAATTGGAAATTTCTTTTCTTTGGCAATGATGAACATATCAAAATACATAAAAAAAAAGTTAATCATCATAGTCAACTTATAAAGCGTGATCTATTTTAATTACATATAATAATAATTTATGGAATACTTATTTATTGTAGTAGACAGTGTCCCCTATAAAGGATGTTTAATTTCATGGCACTTTGTGGTTTTCAGATGCGTGTCTTCTACAGTAGTTCAAGCATTCTTTGGGTTCAAATCCAACAGAAGTCTTCAGTTCCCTGTAATAATTTAATCAAAGCAAAATGTGTCATAATTTGACAAAAACATGTGACATGCCTAAATATGGTCATGATAACATCACATCATAACCATATATAGGCACATCATGGCTATATATGGGCATACAACATTTTTTTTTCGTCAGGAAATTTGATAGCGTGGACAAATCATTAGGGCATTCAAAATTTAAGGGCATTATTCATGGATGTTTGCTATAGAAGGCAAGTAAGCAAACATGTATGAACATATACCAGATTAGTTTACACTTAGAAAATACTAAGGATGTAGGCTTTTCAAAGTTGACTATGGAATAATGGTTTCCCAAGTTTTAATATCAGCCTCATAAAAATCCATGAAATGTGTCCTACTTTTAAAGGTAAGCTGTTGATGGATTCTTTTTTATAATGCCAATCTTTGCATTGAATCAATGCTGTTATCCCACATCACCGCTGAACATCACTCTAATTTTTTCAAGCCATTGACTGTAAATTCCAGCTGAGTATTTATCTTAAATATTGAGCTAGCATTTAAACTCTGAAGGCTTTGGTCATTCTGTTTAGTTGGACTTCTTAGCATGTTTGTATCAGAGTAAGAGTTACAGTTAACAACTTTATAGCTATTCGTTGTCCAGGGATATTGCCCATTTCTGTAACTTTGAGCTAGCATTTAAAATTTGAAGTCTTTGGTCATTCTGTTTAATTTAGCTTATTAGCATCTTTGTATCTGAGTTGAAAATTGAAAGTAACAGTTACAGTGTATTCAATGAAGTTTATTTCTCTGTAGTCTTACTGGCTCTATTAAAAAAAAAACTCTAAATGGTGGCTATTTGTTGCTGTTGGTTTGGAAAAGGAATAAAAAAAAAAAAAAAAGAAGAAATAATTATCAGTTCTCCAATTCCTGAAATATTCTTGATGAAGACAGGGACATTATGGTAGATTCTAAACGACAAAAAATGTATGCAGTATATGAACATACATAATATATATATTTTTTATTTGGTGTGGCAAAGCTACCTTTATTTGCCACAAATGCATAAAACAAATCACCAATAGCACCTGTTCAAGCGAAAAACACCAACTGTATTCCACTCAGCTTGTGGTCGAACATTCGAGCAGGTTTTAACTCACGTTAAATACCGTGTAACAAAACTACAGTACTCCAGAAGTAAATTTTAAAGGTCATCAAATACAAACGAGAAACTACTGCTGCTATAGCCCGGCCCACGTACCCCACAGCAAGGCACATGGGAATGAGAGGCCGAAGGAGCCATTATTTCCTGAAAAAAATTTCCTAAAGTCTGCAGGGCTGAGGAAAGTTTTTGAAGGAAATAATGGCTTCTATTTTTTTGGGTCTGAAATAACTTGACTATAATTGCTTTCAAAGTTAGTCACCCTGTTTTAGGCTATACATTAAATCAAACTGCCAGGTTGCGGTGACCAGTTGCTCTGTGATCAATATATTAACTGCGCTTGTGTACTCCGTGATACGATGAAGATGAATAAATTGATTGTTGTTGGTAAGCTTACAGTAGGTAGTCCTAACCTCCTGGTAGGCATTTGTTTAATAATAATTGATTAAAATGTATTGTAAACATTTTTAAGAATTATTTCAGAGTTGCCTTCTCTTTTCTATACATTTATAAGTCAATTGCCTTGTTATTTCATGACCATGCCTTTCTAGGCCTTGCCTATATATGTCGGTGGTCTGGGCTCCATTCATGTCAACTAGCTCCAAATTGAACAAAATTTGTTAGGTCCACTGTGTGCATTCAGAGCTTGTCCTAGCTACGAAATATTCATCACGCTGTAAAACCTCAGCTTTCATTGCGTTAGAGATTGATCTGGGATAGGGAAATTACGTGCAAATGAAAGTAATGTAGTCATGACTGAATGTTTAATAGACCCTAAATTGGCTGGCAGTAAATTTTAAGGATTTGTAATAAAAGATCAGCGAAAATACTGAAATGTGTCAACATGTGAAGTTGATAACTTATTTTGACCCATTTTAACAAGCAATTCAATGATATTTTAATTGATATTTTTGAGGGTTTTCCTGTTATTTACCACACAAATCCTTAAAAGACAATTAGCAGACAATGACAAGGCCTGTAGCCCAACACATACTTAAAATATCAGATAGCATACAGGATATTGCATGTTAAAATCCTTAAATTAAAAGGGAAATTACAAATTAAACTGACGATGAGAAGAGAAGAGAATTTCAGTATACCAATCCATGTAATGGTTATGCGTTCATTTAAATTTGTGAAGTTTATTTAAATTACACATTTTTTTTTTCTATAATCTTTTTTATTGTCTTTAAATAAATGTTACTTCCTTGATATTGGTTTGTAACTTCTATAAATTTTTATGGCCATTTAAAAGAATTTCATGACATTTCCAAAATACTGTATAGTAACACCTTACCTAGGCATGGCTTTCGGGCTCTGTTTAGGGTGAATTTAATAAAAAAATCTTTCATTAAAGGTACTGTACGTAAAGTACATGATACACTGTTGATACTAATTAATACTGTATGTAACAAATGGCAATTTTTTTTCTGGATGCAAAACAGCCAGTATGTTGTGTACTTTACTACAAAAAATATAGAACAGATGTGAAATGAACATTGTAAAAAAAAGTTGTAGGATTTTGTTGAACACGCATAAAGTTCATTTAGAGCACTATGACAGATGATTCCTCTTATCTAGGACAAATAATGGGGAGTTAAAAAAAGAGAAAAAAAAATTGTTTGACAAGGTCGTTTAAATAGAGATAAATGCCCTCACGTTTTATTGACACACACATGCTATTGTGTTTAAGCTCATTCTTGTGTACAGTAGGAACCACTGTGGTAGTTGATTTCATGTTATTGGTAAGTATACTGTCTATTTTTATCCCATGGATTGGTGACAAGTTGACATTCCTCGAACGCATACTGCGTAAACAAGTGAAAGTACGGTATTGCAATATTTTGCAGATATTCGCAGTCAGGTTATGTAATTTCTAGGTAATGTAATTATCATAACATTTTTCTGTATCAGTATGAGTAAGTTACCCCTGAAGAATGAAGTCAGGAGATTTGGAAATATTGGTCGAATGAATTGTAGTCAAGAAAATTAAAGTAGCGAATTCAAACTATATTGGTAATCTATTGTGTTTATGCGTGCTAAACTTTAGAGATGTTTCTGCCCTATCACTGATTACATGATGTATAAAGCTGTTTGTCCCATGTAGTACGAACATGGCCCTGGGAAAAACTAATCGGAAGACAAGCTAGTCACATGAGTGATTGAATCCCGATGTGCTGCCCATTTTGCCACCATAGTAGCGGCAATTCAGTGCAGCTATCAAAGCTCTAGGCACTAAAGCGGCCCTGGTAAAAATTTCCTTGTTATTGATGGGTTATAACGTTGGATTTTACTTTATGTTCTAAGAATTTACTTTGAATCACCTTTTACATTTGTGTTCATTAATAATAATATCAATATGTTAGTATTTATTCAGTAGTGATTTTAAGTTCAATCTTTGCTTTGAAATGCACCAGGGGTGGAATTAGAAAGCAAAAAACTGATCGCCCAAAAGGCCTCAGAGGTTATTTTCGGGCGTCTAGAACACAGAAATTAAGCGGGGGAATTCTCCAGGACCCCTTAGGGTATTATCTCGATTGGCCCCACTTTCAGCCCCCTTCTGGGGCCCCCTTTTGGACATCTCTGGATCTGACCCTGTGCACTGTTATATTTTATATTGCATATTTCTAACTATATTCATTATCAGTAAGGTGCTGGTTTAAAATCATAGTTATATGATTATATCTTGTGGTTCATTTCGTTGAGAGTGGGTGTGAATTTGGTGATACTGTAGCATAGGCATAAAGTACACGATCTGTACTTGCATTTACAACTTATAAATAATATGCCATTAATAATATATCATAATTGTTTATGATCACAGTAAAGGTTTCAAGAAAACAAAATCTGTTGAAATCACAATACTAAGCTATTGATGATAGTATAAATACCCTAGTTAGGATGTTCTATAAGGTACATAATACTATGTAAATTTATTAATTTATTAAATTCTATGAAATGATAATATTACACAGATCAGCCACACATTATTATCAAAAAGTTCAATACACTTTATGATTGAAAAAGGAAAAAAAGAATATTTTTTTTCCTTACCATCTTTATGATGCCGCGCAGGCGTCAGAGAAAATACTGTGTTCAACTCTGAATGGTAACGTTTAAGCGCTTTGTAATAATTAGAGTTAATGTTGCCTATTAGCATCCAATGCGATTACAACATGAGACAGAGATTAAACTAGTAATTTCCATGTGAGTATTAATAATTTGATGATTATGATTAGGAGTCCCATGAATACTAATAAAGCAACTCCACTGCCAATGTGCGCATCGTACAAATTAGTATTTAAGAGCAGTAGACCCTCAAGTGACTACTGTGGGCGAAATTGAATCGTGCTTACCAATGATTCAGCATCCCAAAAATAAAATTTTAATTAAAAGCCTTTTAATGGCACATGGTTCTATGTATACAATAATGCTTCAACATGTTCTAAATTTATTTTAAATTTGAATATATACAAATGGAGAAAAAACAAATTGTAATTTTGTTAGCAACTAGATTTCAGGATACTTTGCATATGTTTTTTTAAGATGCCAATCAAAAGAGACTAAGCATTATTTTGTGTCATCTGGGAGCGCCATTCATCTAGAGGGATCATAGAAAATTAAAACATACCCTTTAAAATTTAATGCTTCATGACTTCAGTGGGATACTACTAAAGTTAGACCTGTAGCAATCACCCATCAAAAGTTAATATTTTCATTTCATAGTAGGGCTACCCTTTTTTTTTTTTACAAAATCCCCCTTTTTTTTAAGGACACTGAGGCTTAAATTGCTTAAAAATAAGAGAAAATTGAGGCTGGATTCAAATTTCAAATGCGGTTTTTATTTTTATAAAAAGAAATTCAAAAACC